GAATTAATCTATATATAAAAATATATCAATTGGTAATATATAAAAAGCAGGGCACTGGAATCGTTATCAGAAATCTATAGATTTCATTATATATAGGATTTAATTTCAAGAGCATATTTAGAATCTCAGAGATAAAGAATATGATATCATTTCATTAGAGAATTTAATATATATTGATTATATTCATTATCTTAATCAGAATAAAATCAATAAATCGATAAAAAAATCATTATATAATATAATTTCTGATATTCAATGATATATAAACGAATATATAATATATATTTTTCTTAGAATCGAATTAAAAAGAAAAATGATATCTAAATTTAAAATTAGAAGAATATATTTAAATATATTTTCTTGCTTAAAAAAAATTCTTATTTCAATTATTTCTATAAGATAATATTTTAGATAAATATATTATTTGAAGATATATAATTGAGAGCATTTGAATTAATATGAAAATTTATTTTTTGATAAAGAAAATAATTCATTTTGAAATCTAAGATTCATAGGGAAAAGATTTCTAAGAAGATGGGAATTCTCGTATAGTTGATCGAAAAATAGTCGAGATCGATAAGAAGTCGAATCTTTGTTGTTGTCAGAGCAGATATCTCGGCATTGAGCAAGGGAATAACAATTTATTTAAATTTTGATTACCGATGAGATTTTTATATTAATTATCTGCATATCTATAATATATGAATCAATTAAATCGAACTAATATATATATCTGACTTTATAGATAAATTATCCCATCAATATATATCTATATATATTATATAAATATATTATTCATTGATATAAATATCATCATATATAAATATAAACTATTTCTTTCCAATATAGAAATTATTATGAAATCTTATGCTAGTCTATAGAATTTGATTCTATTTCATTCAATTTTCGAAGTTTGCTTTTTAATTTAATTTATCTATGTATAATACTAAATAAAATAAAATTTTTGCAAAGAATCTATAATTTCTTAATTAATGAATTCAAAATGTTCGACCCCATGCTTCGACTCTACCATCAATTTATTAGTCTATTATAGAAATAAATTCCATAATCAATCCCTGCCATATTTAGAGCGCGCCCAATTTCCTTGAGGCTATCTATCCCTTACGTGCGAACCCGTGAGTAAATCTTCTATTTTTAAACCTTCCGCGCGCCCTTCCCTATATCAAACATCTTCCCATAAGATGCCCTTATAGACGCCTCTTCCGCGCATCGGTTTTCAAGGCTACAATTCCGCAAGCCTTCCGTGCATACGATTAAGACTTCTGTGCCCATTAATTAATGCCAGGCCTAATCTAGCTAATTCTTCGATAATTTAGCTTTCTAATTAATTCGCTCCCATAAATTAATCAAGTATTCAAATAAAGATTCTAATAAATATAGAAATAGAAAAAATAGAGATAAGAATAATTAGAAATGCATCGTATAGAATCAAGGACGCAAACAATATAATACCGTTTTCTTATAGAGATATTTATGAGGTAATGTTTATCCACTAACCCGTGAACGAGTACAATTACAAGCAAATTACGAATCCGAATCAACCATGTTATTCAAGAATATAGTATCCCATTCGAAAAATTCGAATTTGCCGTTAATTTCGGTACTAATCTTGTATGGGAATCAATCAGTTTTCTCAAATCTTCGCCTTGTGTTGTAGCCCAGATAGGGCATGCCGCTGTAGGCGCACCTGCATCTATGAGCAAACATGGAAGCTTCATGCATGCAGCGTAGAGCATCTTTATTGACATGCTGAGAGATCGGCACAATCGGCCACCAGGTACAAAGAGCCGCAAATCACGATCTGTGTTGCAACCTGAGAGCGACTAGTTTTCAGCTTTTGCGCAGCAGCAAGCAGATTCGGATTGTCTACTACCCGGGTCCCGCCCTCCGAGCAGGCCACCGAATCCAGCTTCGCGGCCTGCGCAGCCCCCAGACCCAAAACTCAAACCCTAAAAACTGTTCTTGCATCAGGACCCTTTTTACATCAGGCTTGCATGTTGCGGACCCTAAACCCTAAACCCTAATCACTTTTTGCATCCAGCCTGCTAGAGCCTCTCCAAAACTGGTTACGTCAATGGGCCACGAAATGCTGCCTCTAGGGCTGCTGGAAGATCCGGGCAGGTCTGAGCTCGTCCTGACAACTGGGAGTTTCAGAAAATTAGGGGTACCTTATTTTGGGGTCCGTATAATTGGGATCCTATTATTTAGGGTACCATATTAGGGTCCCCTATTTTCGGAAATCCTCAAATATCTGCCGGACAGGAGTTCAAAGCTTTTTCTGGCACTCACACTCGGTTCAAGGTTTAGGGTTGCGGGGTGTAGGTTTCATACTTTATTGAAACCCTTTTTCGGGTGCGCCTTATGTGACGTATGTGGCTCAGATGCTATGATTTCAGGTTTTGGAATGTCACAGCTGCAAGACCTGCGCTATTAGGGGAGAAAGCCCGATGCTCTAATTTACTTGTCAACCTCGTTTGGTTGGCCACGAATTTCGCTGTTAAGCCTACTGCTGTACATACTTAGTACATAGAGGGTTTAGGTTCCAGACACTAGACACACAAGGTTTCGGCGCGCACACTCGGACACTCCAGGCGAAGCTGCTCCAGCATCACCAGCAGCTACGAGCTCGGACCATCTGCACGATACATATCGACTGCCAAGGAAGGAAATCGAAGAAACGTAAACCAACCTTTCTGAGAGATGGACTCTCGAAGTTATAGGTTCAGGGTTTAGGGTGTTGGCGCTTTCCGTCGGGCAGCCAGTCCGGTTTCAGGTTCAGGGTATTTGATCCGCAAAGCAGGAAAAACGGAATGATGCATGAAACTGATGATACAGAATGCATTATTGTATACGGCTCTACAATATTGTAGTATCTACTTGATACTACAAATACAACTTGAACTGCAGCACATGCTATATGGCCATATACTGCATGCTCCCCCAACACAGGCCAGGACGTCTCAGATGAGGTCTAACAGATCTGACCGAAGTCAAGATATCATCCGGAGCCTGGCAGCATCTGGGCAGGTTCTTCGAAACGCGAATCACTCCTTAAATCCGTATTCTTCATCAAAAGAGCCGAGAGTTTCATGTCTTTTGGAAATCCAGACATTAAAAGCTCTGCGAGGGATTCCCTTTTCGGAAACTCCGCCTGCGCTTGCACCCAAGGCATCCCCTCCACTGAGGAGAAGCCCACAGCGTACACCGCATCCTGGCTGGTGCAGTGTTTTGGGTTTAGGGTTTAGGGTTTCGTTTCAGGGTAGGCTCGGTTTCTTCCCTCTCGCATAGATCCCGGTCGGTTAGGGTGCAAGGTTCGGGTGGATCATCCCCAAAACCCTCATGCAGCTTCGAAAATTGGCCAACCAAGGGTCAGGGCCGGGTATGAGCTCCAGGTAAAAGCTTTCAGGGCAAAGACAGCGCCACAAGGCAGTTACGGGCTCATCCTGATCTGAGCGGAGCAGCTCGCGGAGGATGGCTTCGGCATCCTGGCGCATCTCGGTTTGACTGTACAGGATATTCGGCAGATTTCGGCAGCATTCACATGCATGTAGATGGATGGATGTGCAGACAAACGAAAAAGAAGAAATACAAAAAAGCTCGGCGAAGGACAATCAAACAGCACATATGCCAAGTGTCACCATGTGCTTTATATATTCTGACCAGCATACCTTAAGGTACAGTCTGGAAGGCTACGGCGATGCCATAATTCCCGTTCCAGGGCAAGCGCCTTGCCCGCACTCAAGGCGATGACCTGAGCGATCATAGTAGGGTTTAAGCTTTAGGCTCTCGCAACTCGGACTCAGCCAGACGACTTACTTTCTTCCACTGTGCTACGTGATGTTGGGTGATGTGAAGAGAGAACAAAATTTTAGCTACACGGACAACACGCACGCACGCACGAACAGTTATATATGTATGTATATGTATATGTAGATATACGCGTGTATGTACATATCCACACGCACAACACACACAGGCATGCACATCTATATCTATGCACATATATATATATATATACGGAGAGCGAGAGAGAGAGAGAGAGAGACAGATATATATATATATATATATATATATGTATATATATATATATATGTATGTACCTATACGTACATAGCATAGCTACAAGCGACTGAGTATATACTAGTATACTAGTATGTACATATATATATATATATATGGATAGAGATATAGACATAACTAACGTACGAGTGCGTCTGTAGGTGTGTGTGTGCGTCTGTGTGTGTGTGTGTGTGTGTCTGCGTGTTGGTTGATGAATGTTCATGACTCGCAGTCTTGCAACTGTCGGACAGAGGTGCCTTGAAAATCCAGCGGCGAAGCTTTTTGCACAGCCTCTTAGCCGAAAGAGCTTGTCAGCAACAGGTTGCGCCAGCGTACCTCCAATCTCCGCCCGTCCTCAAGCGCTACGATGTACTTCCATGGCTCAGTACCTGGGTCGAATGCTTCTTTCAGCCTCTGCCTTCGAGACTACCCTGTAGTTTGCCCATAACAGAAGAAAGCAAACATGGATATGACTAGGTTTTACAGCATATGATGAGAAACTATGCAACGAAGCTTCCTTCATCTTCAATGGTTCCAGCTGCATCGTTCAAAGTGGTGTCTGCCTCGAGGTTGCGGAGGAGAACACCATCACCAGCTTGGAAAGGTCTGCGCTGCAAGTGCTCCTAGTTCATGGATGGGGTAGTATTAAGAATTTAAAAATATATTCCTTATGGGGTTTAAGTACCCTTAAAAATGTAAAATGTTACCCAACTATGACAAAGGCTCTGGCCACATGAGGATTCGCTGGAGGATAGGTCCGCCTGGCAGAAGGCTGAGAACGTCCACGACAACTCGACCAGAGTATTTGTCGAATCCAAGCTCACGTTCCTTCACGAAGGATGTTGCAGACAACGTGGCTTCCGGAATCGAACTGAGAGGGTTATGTAAGCATGCCGCGGTATGTCTATGGCTACGAAAAGATCGAAAAAGGCCCGAAAGGAGACCATATCATATTGCAAACCCAACCCCGAAACTAGCTTTTTCAAGCAAGTCCTCGTCGGTCAACGTTGAGACCAGAGCAGCTCTTCTTTCGAGCCCTTCGTGCTCAGTACCCGGCTCGAACTCTGCATTTAGCGTCACCTCAGGAACTCGGATGATATCCATGTAATTCTCTAATTTTCTCTCACTTCTGCTGCGCTTCTACATGGTGTAAACTTGAGGGTTCATAGAGCTTGGTGCCCCTAGAAATCATGCTTCTAAGCCCGGCAAGGAGCTGCATCTCCGGGACGGTGCCTTGGAAAAATCAGATTCCGAGGCTGCACGGCCTTAGGGGCTGAGTACCCTAGCCCAAAAAAAGCTTAACCGTTTCAATTATGGTAGGATTACCTGAACCCCAAACCCTAAACCCTAAACCCTTTTTTTGAACCCAGACTCTGTTGATCACCCTAAACCCTAAACCCCAAAAGGTTAAAGGTTACCTACTCAGCTACTAAGCGGCTATGCGCCCCTGGCCATCCTCGAGCTCGATGATGCGCCTGCCTGGATGCTCCTCCGGGTCGCAACTTCAGGACCAGGACCCTCCAAGTACCCTCAAATTAAATGGGGTAAAGGGTCCCCAATTCAGGGTATTTAGGTCCTAATTGAGGGTAGATGGAGGGTCTAGTTCAGCATCCGAAGTGAATCAGAAGCCTCTCTCCGTCAATTATGCTTGAGGGTCTCTTCTTCTGCGGAATTCATACCACATGGCTGTCTGTCAGAAGAGAAGCAACACCTGGGCCCTACTTGCGTTAGCCGGGAAGGGCGCCTTCGACGCCCTGGCGGGTGCTCCACCAGGTTTTTCGGAGCTGCTGTTTGAAGCTTAGTTCTCTAAATTAGGATCCCTTTTAGGGTCCTGTGGTACCATAATACGACTACAATAATACTATAGTAGTATGATAATAGTACTTGCTTGGGAGGGTCCGGGTTCATCCTCACTCGTTCGTCATTGCCATTACTGGCGGCCACGGTACACAATCTGCAAAGTGACTTGTCCTGTGGCGCCAAAGGCCACAATGCCTTCTCTGGTGCTGTAGAAGGGGGGTGGCAAATTCAAAGAAGCGCAGCACGACCCCCAGTCTGCATGGAGCCCAGGTTTTTGCAAGCTCGCTGTAGCTTTCGATTCTCTCTGTCTCGAATCCATGCAAAGGTCTGCGTATTTCTGTAAGGGGAACATCTGCTTACTTGAACAGTTGAACCAGGAGGTCCTGCGTTGCTGAGTCTACGAACCGGAATACTACGCTTGGACAGAAGGGTGCGTGGAGAAGTGGAAGATTCCCAGATTGTGGTAAGCAGGATGGCTAAGGACTATTCCGAACACCTCTCCTGCATCTCCTCCTCCGTGGCCTCAGAGAGGGTGCCTGTGAGGCCGTTCAAGTGCTCGGCAGCACTCAAACCAGAAATCTCCACCAGAGAGCCTTCACTGAGCTCAGCAACTTGCCGGCGCTCTAATACCTCGCTCCCGAATTTCAAGAGCTTGTCGAAGAGAACGGAGCCCTGCATTATTTGCATGAGCTCTTGAGTTTTGTCGTTGGACTGGAGCCAAGACCAGACAGCTTGCGGATCTGAGAGAAACTTGGCCAAGGGATCAGAGTCTGCAGCGCCTTCCTGTGCAGCCGCCAGCTCCTGAAAGGTGCTGTTGTACTCCTTCAGCTGCCCCTCATCTTCCAGCAATTCCTTAAGGATGCTCTGGATGTTATTGGCACCATCGGGCTGCTCCAAGAGCTCCCGGAAGTCCTCGGCGTCAAGCGGCCGCCGGGTGGAGCTCCCTGTGGCCCTGCGAGCCAAGGAGGAGCCTCGGGGCACCAAGGGCGCGCCCACTGGCAGCCTGAGAAATGCCCAGGTCGAGGCGAAAAGTGTAAGGACGGCCGCCTCGGATGATGTCAGGACACCGTGACCTATTCGAAAGGCTGCGGATTCCACAAAGGTGAGGAAGGGATGAAGTGAGAGGAGGGGCTGGAGAGAGCGAGCTTTGAGGGGCACAACACCAGCGACTAAGGCATTTGCTCTCCTTAAGTCTCACCCTACCCTGCCGTGCCAACTGAACTGAACCAAGCCAGGATGCACATCTGCAATTGTAGCGCTGCCGCCGGCCGATTTGCGACGACATGTGAATCTTTGTGTTTTGAAACGGTCTCTGCATTTAGCACAGGCAAGTGGTGTTTGGTAGCTCACGGGCACTGTCTTTTGAATGAATGTTTTGCTTAAGTGCATCTGCAAGGGAGTCTTGTCCAATGACAAATCATCATACAGCATGAACAGCTGCATAGATTTGCTCAACCTGAAGCCCGAATAAGTGATATCCAAATCTGTACTGCGGAAGTGCTAGGCTCACCACCCAAGAGACTGGGCGCCCGTGTGGTCGCACAGCCGAATCCACGTAGCCTCCCAGGGCAGTCTCGCGATTAGACCTTCGCTACATTGCAACAACAAGGTGTAACGTATGAGAATATGCAAGGGGCAGCAACAAACACAGCCGTCATGATACAAGTATCAGTAGTAGCAGCAAGAACACAATCACTCGTCACAAACCTTTCTTGTGATTGCGTGGGAAATTGCACTGGGTTTGAGGCCTCCTAAAGCTTCCGCAGCATGCGGATTGTGCGCGCCATCGAGGAGCACTCGTCCCGCACCGGCCAACTGAAGCCACTCCAAGCGTCCAGCCCTGCAAGACCCAAGTTCCGGATTTAGGGCCGAACTTATAGTTTTGTTCTTCTCTGATGCATCCTTTGCAAGATCAAGTTCCTCGGGATCAGGCCATTTTGTTGCAGCCATGCCAGCTGCAATGGTACCTGTCGCAAGCGCGATGAGCCAAACCCGAAGATCCATCCTTCCGGCTCGGGCAGCTGCTGTCGTCCAGCAGGGAAACGTCGAGGACCTGCTCCCGGCCTGCAGACCCGAGCGCTCTCCGTTTGGGTTTAGGGTTGAAGGTTTTGATGGGTTTAGGGTTTAGGGGGTTATTGGTTCAGGGTTTAGGGTTTTGATGGGTTTTGGGTGCAGGGGACTTGATGGGTTTTGGGTTTATATAGGGGATTGGAGAGCTGCTCCCCAAGTCGTCGGGTCTCTAAGGGCGGAGCTCCGAAGTTGAAGCTGCTGGCAACGAAGCTCCAGCAACACGGCCTCGAACTCCCGCAGTTTGCAAGGAAAGGGTGATCAGAGAAGCCCGAAACCTTAACAGGTTCCTTGTTGGGGCTAAACTAGAAATGATCATTTTTAATCCTTATTGGGCTTTTATAATGACAAACATGTAAATTTGTATCCAACAAGGACCCAGTTAAGCCCACAACCCTAAGCCATAAAGACTCAGGCAGCCGCCAACGCGAGAGCTGCGTTTGAGCGTTGGTAGTCGCCTGGCATGTTGGCATCGATTCATGGTCTCTTAACTCAGGGGCTCTGCAGCAGAAAAGCTGCATAAACAAAGAATCCTCATCCAATGGTTATTCCTTGAACTGCACCTGCATGCGAACTGCACCTACGTGCCCCAACGCTAAACCTTCACGACAAACCCTAAGTAGCCGTTCTAGACCCCTTTGCGGGTAACCCTTAACCGTAAATCCAAATGCTAAACCCTCTTTTGAACCCGTACTGAGGTCGATGCTCTTGACAGGAGAGAGCGTTCTCCGAACAGCTGACAGCAATCCGAAAACCCCGAACCCTAAACCCTAAACTAAACCCTAATTTTCTGCAGCCATGCCTCCTGAGGTGTTGCCGGGCTATACCCAAAACCCTAAACCGAATTCCTCAACCCAAAACCCTAAATCCTGAACCGAATTCCTAAACCCCAAACCCTAATCCCCAAACCGAATTCCTAAACCCCAAACCCTTTTTGAACGAGGTCTCTCTGACCCTTTTACACAGGCTTGATTGGAGCTCGCCCGGCCAATGTCCCTCGTGA